TATCCTGTTTAGGCATGCTTAAATATACGCTTTTATCATAAAAAGAAACACGTTGCAATACCATTTGCCACTATATGTGGCAAATTTAATCAAGATACCAATCCTAAAACAGGAAATTAATACAATGAAAATTTATAAGCATTCTAACGCTATTATATTTTTGTCCGTTAATGGTCATGGTCTAAATTTGCAGTCTAATTGTAGTTGCTTCGCGAGACTTTCATCAGCCTTTAAGCCAGCTATTAATCTGCAATATTATGGGGTGCTTAGAAAGTCATTGGCTCCCTACTTTGTAGAAGATCTTTAGTTTAAGTGAAGGCCTACACACTTAAGGCTAAATAGGAGAGCAAAGAGCAGAAAATGATAGTGAGGCTAAGGGGTATTGGGAACAGCTATTCATCAACACATGCTGAGATAGAGGAATACAACTCAGTTTGGATAGCATCGCATCTTTTCCATGTGTCGTTCAAAAATGTGTACTACAATAACAGTTTTGTGTGTGGAAAGTATGTCCTCACAGAGTCTTATAGAAATAAATATTTATTTATATCTACAAATATTTTTTTCTATGAGTGTTTGTATCATGTGTTCTATTTCCTCAAAGTTTCTTATATCCAATGAGGACAATGGTATTGCTATCTCCAGATAGCAATACTAGAGAGATTAGGAAATATAAATTATAAATAGCATAGCAAATAATTCATGAACGATCCATTGGCTCAAATTCGTGTACATAAAGCACTGGAATAACTTTTTGTAATCTTTTCAAATGCACAAAAAGGTTTGAAGATAGTTCACATGCAATTTGTTAATAGGAAATTGAACTAATTTTGTTAAATAACTTGCTCATACCGAAGGGTGCACCTAGCTCTCATAACTACCTGCAATCTTTTCCCTGTGATTAAAACAAACTCTTTCAAAGGAACATATAAACTAGTATACTGATAAAAGGCTGTTTGAAATTTACACCCTTGCAAAGTACATCTGTGCAGCAGAAAAGGCATTGTTATGAATAGCTTTTGAATGTTAGATGTCAAGGATTAAGTTGTTTGGGCCTATTTTCCCCTTTACCCAGCAGCTGAAAAGGAGGAACATTTTTTCTATCACTTTTGGAGACACCAGTTCTCAAATTCTCCTACCATATGTCCTAGGAACTCTTCCTTTTTTTTTTTTTTTTTAATTTTTTTATTTTAAAAAATCATCCAGTTTCACTGAGAGGAATCAGCCATCTGCCTAACCCTTTGCTCTATATCCTACTGCTTCACTTTGAAGGGATTGGCTTCATTTTTATATGCTGACATAGTTCTGTATTTGGAGTCTTGGAAGGGGTTACTTTAATCACAAGGGAAAACTGCACATAAGTCTTTTGAGTGTGATAGTCTTATGGTCCTGAAGCTTGGCCTAGGGTTTATGTTTCTGGTAGACATATTTTTTTCATTAAGGGGATTCACACCATAGTAGCTAAGCGCTCCTAAAATACCGACAAAAAACGTAAGAAATAATGAGTTTCTAACTCTCCTGCCAGCAGTTTAAAGAGAGACAGATCTAGATACATTTAGAAAGACATCTTTCATGTAAAAAATATTTCATCAAGACACTGAGTGTATGAGGAAGCATTTTATATTAGCATCTTTATTTTCAATTAATACTGCAGCCTGGCAGTTCATAGGAGCCATTGTATAATTTGTCCCTCAGAGAACTAGAGCTTTGGGGATTGTTTTCTGCCTCAGAATATCATACCAAAAAGCTGAACTGGAGAAGGATAAGTTAGTGAGTACTGAGGTTATAAATGCCACGGACAGAGGTAACCTTGCTTACTCACTGATTTGTTGACTTAGGAAACAGACCACTTCAAAACAAACCACAGTATCTTGCCCACAACTCCTCTCCTGTGTTATTGGTGAGGATAAATGTATTCTTTCTCTCACACATTTACTGCCTCTGGTGAATCCAAGTGGGAGCTGAAGAGGGTAATTCTACAAGTGTATTCATCTGCCCCTTGGCTATATGTGAACATATGTTCTACAGAGAACAGCACAGAGGTAACTTCAGGATGGTTTAGAGGTACCTGAACCTTAAGATGTATTAGAGATTCCTAGGCTAGCTGTGGGAATAGCAAAGCAGGTATCTGACTGCCCATGGTCCCAAAGTATCACTCCTGCAGTTGAAGAATTTGGATACTGGCGTTTCTGTGATTGATTTCTGTGATTGATTTCTTATGAACAAGCTTTTTCTTCCACTCTGGAGATAACCTAGGCTGATAATATTAACTCACTGCAAGTGAAACAGAACGTAAGAAATCTCTGCACCTTCAGAGAAGATTGAGCTAATATATGGGGTAGCAGAAAATACTTAGTTAGATTTATTAGAATAAAGATATGAGGAAAAGTGCAATTAGATGGAGAATTTTCTGCATACTCTGTCTTTTTCATATCAGTTTTGTGGAGTTTCTAAATAGACAGATGGATGTAGGACACTGTTGATTTGGGGATGTAGGGTATAGTAACATTTTATTTACTACAATTAACAGCTCCCTCAGTGATGTCTAGAACTCCTCCAATCTATTAATAGCATTCAATAATTGTCAGCAGTCTGAACTGTAAAATTCTTTGTACTGGGAGCCATCTCTGCTGTGTATGTACAATGCATAACATCGAGAAGAAATGTACCTTTTTGAAGATCAGTTGTAAGTGTGTTGAAACTGCTGTATACACTGTGCAGAGGCATGTGCAACTCATTTTTGTAGTTCAGCATGAACTACAATGAGAATTGTAGACAAGATCTTTTTCAGGTTCATATACAAATACTGACACAAGACAAAAACTACCCTGTGTAACTGGGTACCCCAGCATTTACATAGAAATTATCTGAGTTTTCACTTGAACCATAGAAATTACACATTCTTGTAGAAGGGTAGAACTTCCAGGTGTGTATGGCACCCTCTATTGGATATGAAATTTTCCACTTATGTAAGGAATTTTTGCAAATTGTTGATCCTCAAGGAAGAGGTCCTGAGTTTCAGTAAAGTAGTAGACATGTATCTGTAATCTGCAAAAAAGTGTTGTGTCCATCGCTCCCATATACAGGCTGATAAAAATCTTCCATCATTACAAACATATACTCATAGGTGCAGGTCTATCATCCAGGCCCTTGTCCTTGTGTGGGAGGAGGACTGCCTCAGTCATTTAATGCTGTGGTAAGCAACCATGTTACTAGCTGGTTCATACCTGAAAGATTTGCAAAGATATCCATTCTTCACATTTCCATTCCCATAGGCATAAACATCAATTGAGTGAGCTAGCAGAAGGGACAGTGACAGTCTGGAAGTGCCAATAATGTGCTTCGAGTTCGATACTTTAATGTTTCCAAGCACAGAGGCCCTCATTTCAAATTGCCCCATATAAACAACACCAGACTGCCACTGGAATCTTTTACACACCAAGGTGTCCCACTCCCCTTTAATTTTGCTGAGAGATAGGGACCTACATGTTTTCTGAAATTTCATGAGCTACACACTTTTGAAAATCTGCCCCCAAATTCTTCAAGGTCTAGCTCTCCACAGGTTCCCCAGAACACTCACAGCTAGACTTCTAAGGAATTTCATATGTATTTATTCAACACTTACTGAAAGAAGATGATCCAGCAGTCCCTCAGGCAGCTCAAGAGGCACTCCTGTACAGCCATCCAAAATGTAAAAGCATCCTGGTATAACCCTTCTGCATTCGTTTCTCAGCCTGCAGGTCTGTGGCATTCTTCCCTGATAGATAATGATGCCCTGTTTTCATGCTGAGCAGGATCTTACATGTAAGAGGTTCTCAGAAAAGCCTTTAGAAATAGGCTGTTTTCTTGTGCAGGGGATCATGTTCTACAATTCTGATCAGATAGAAGTGAAACACTGGAGGAAGCAGAACTCTGTTAGGCTCCTTGGCTCTGAGTAATCACGAAGAGCCAATGGTGCCAGGAATAAATCACATGAAGAGAAATACTTTGAGCAGAGGAATGGAGCTGTGAAAACCTCACTAGAGTTGGAAGGCTCCAGAAACTCAAAGGACAAGCGGAGAAGGTTTAAACAGCGCTCAGCTTTTGGTTACAGGCATATGATTGCAAAACAAGAGAGCTATCAGTTTAAAAGAGCTATATCATATCAACTGTTCATTGATTGTCTCCTCCTAGCTCATGCAAATGGAAAGTAAAATGTGTTAGCTTCATTATAGTTACAAGTAAAACACTCACCTTTCCAGTTTACAAAACCATGCAAATGTTTTGAGAAACTCTGTGCGGTTGTTTATGGTGGCATGCTTTCATTCCATTTGGAAAGGGTTAGAGACATACATATGGTCAATAAAAAACAGCTCAGCTGTTAGTTGTATCAGTGAGTGACCACCTGTGCTTACCATCCCAGTATAACCCGGGATGTCTATATATACACTCCCTCAGCTGGTAAGCAGTGGGACCCTGAGAGGGTGGAGAGGGGTTAACTTGCAATTTCATAATGTCAGATCTGAAAGCTCCTGTTAATTTTTTATAATTTCCCCAGTTAGTGCAAGCAGAGAAACTAATTATGAAATTACAACTTGGCTATTTGAGGAGGAATTCATTCCACATGTAAAGTTAAATATATATGAGAACAAAGAGAGAGGATGAAAAATAGGGGGAAAAAAAGAAAGAAAAAATATGGTGCAAGAGGAGAGAGTGAAGAGCGTAAGTTACAGTTGTGAACCCAATCACATTCTAGGCCGAAAACCCAAAACTAAACTTTGCCCAGAAACTGGGATTGTATAGTCAGAGAGACTCAAGAAAAACACACATGCACATTTTAATAAGCTACTAGTTAGGTTCTACTTTGAATCATTTGACACCATCTGTTCCAAAAAACTACTTTCCTCAGTGCCAGTCAGATGGAATTAAAAAAATTGTAAATCTAAGTTTCCTCAATACTGAGGAGCTGAGTTGGTACCTGTTTGTTATTTGCATGCAGTGGTTGCTTAGCAGCCCAAAGTGGGCAATGAGCTCAACTATAAAAGTGGTTTTCAGCATTCTTGGTAGGGAGCAGGTAGACCTAAAACTGCAAAACTAAACAGCTTGGCATTTCTAAGGGATAACCATTCATCTCCTGCTTTTCTTTTGGCCACTGAATGATGCTACTCATCACTTTCATGCACAGGTGTAATTTTCTGTTTCTGCAGGTATAGTCCAGCCAGCAACTGCAATCCTTCTCAAGCTATAGTTTCATGGGATTTGATTTTCCAAGTCAAACCACAAAATAAACAAGCTTTCTGGTAATCAAACCAAAAAGTAAGCAAGCTTTCTGGTAATTTCTATCCCTAAAACCTTAAGAAGCAATCCACCTGAAACCACATCAGGCTGTCTGAAGTCCTTATTTAGAGCTGGGCAAGTGAGGAACTGGCAGTGGGATTTTGCTCAAATGATTTTCAAAATATGGAGATAACACACACACACACACACATATACATGGTAAGGAGTTCTTTGGTCTTCAGATATTTGCACTTAAAAAAGAAAATTGAAATAAAAAGCTAAAAAAGTGTACATAAGAACAAGATACAAAAAAGCAATGGAGAGATTTTTTAAAGTTTTTCCATCTGTTTTATGTTTCTGGCTGGTTTCCAGGGTTTAAATAGGACATCTGGATGAAAAGCAGAAAAGTTAAAAGTGCCCCGCTTTTTATTCTTTATTTAGAAAAGTGAGAAAAGAAAGTTTAAAATAAGAAGGTAACAGCAGAAGCAATGTTATCTGCTGATAGCAAGACAGAGCCAAGTGTCTTAAGGGTACCTTCTTTTTACAGTGTATTGAACCAGGAAATACAGAATAAAGATTTTACATTTAATTGGTGGTGCTATGCTCATTTGAATTTTTCTTGGAGATTTTAAGGAAAAAGGAAATTATATGTGCATATATTGTTAAAGACTTTAAAAAGAAAACTGTGATAGATTTAAAATGGAAAAAGTATTGCTCTCCTGCAGAATCTTCCTTGGGAAGGATAAAGGGAATTTTGAATGATTATGAGACAGTTATTTGCAGTGAAGTGATTAATACTCACTGAATGGCTTTCACTTTCATGAACCTACTGTTTTCATAACTAAAAAAGGGTTTATGTTTTAAGACAGAAGGACTAGAAAAAAGCTATTAGAAGGCACACCCAAAACTTTCTTTTTTTGGAAAGGCCCCAGCCACTCGCCAGATATCCTCTGCGCAGGAGCTTCATGAAATGTACTAAATAGCAATTCAGTAACAACATAGCAGCAACGTTTGTGTTTATACTGTATCTAATACCCCACAGCTAGGGGATTCAGTCCCCCTCAGCTGTGATTTTCGTCCAGATTAAGATCTGGCCATTTTCTTAATGCTATGGGTTACATCCCAGGGGGAATATATATATAATGAAAAACTGAAGGAGAAGGTCTTATTCCAGCATTCAGGAGGGTCCAGGTGAGTCTCCACCTAGGTAGAAAGGTACAAAAAGGAGCATGATCATTCCTCAGGAAGGATCCAGTCAACATGCTCTACATTAGCCCTATCACTGCTTTAAAGCACCTTTTACATAAAACTCTTACCTACTCAGTATTTTCTTCTTTCATATAAATATTATCTATCAGTCGTCGGTATTGTTCACCGAGAGGTAAAGCAGCGTTGTTCCGATGACCACGGTCTAGTATTTCAAAGATCATAACATATCTGGCCAGCTTTACAAAAGTGGGCAACTTAAGAAACGGTTTTCTGATGATTGTTCTAGAAAGACAACACTCATGGATTTACAGTTTATTACCCTCCAGGCTCAGGATGGCAAGAATCCTGAGCTCTTTCCACTCCTGACATCTACCACTGCCATGGGCAGAGGAATTGTAAGCATGGTGCATCATCCATCACTGGATGGATCAAGAGGCATCAACTTTTGATGGCTCTGTTCTGTGAAGAAGTGCATATTTCAGCTTACTGCTGCCATATACACCTTCCAGCTCTATTAAAAGAACGAGGACACTTGCCAAACTGTAGTTCAGAATTGCCAAGAATCCATAAGATTGATTCAGGACTGGGAATTGCCACCAGGGCTGTGATCCTCATCTATACTTGAAATCAAAGAGCCAGATACACAACAAAAAGGAAAATAAAACTGATTGCTATTTGGAGATGGGGAAAGTTTCATAAAAGAAAATACGTCCAGTGTTTTCAAGGAAAATAAATTGCAGCTAAGATCCATCTCAGCATATATCCAAATATCTAAGAAGGTGGAGGTCACACAAAAAGACGAACACACTCCAGCCAGAATCACTGGGGATGATGTGGTGAAGCAGGGGGGTTTCTTCAATACCTGAACTCCTTGATGAATGAGGACTGTGTGCTCTTGAGATGTCCGCAGGAGGCTAATAATGTTTCAGTCACTGAGACATCAGTGGTAAAGAGGCGACTAGAGTAGAACATTTAAAATGCGACACTCAAATTTTGTGAGTTCAGTGTCTGCAGTGAACTGTGGAAGTAACATTTTAGATTACAGTACAGGAAGAACACTAAACATCCATTACATTATCTATTCTAACAACAGGGAGAATAAGCTCTTTTACAGAGATACTTAGCAGAGAATGCAGACTCTCTGCTCAGATTTCAGGTGAAGAGACAGGTGCAGCCTAGAGGACATAATTCCCTAGAAGCTGCGTCCTTGGCAGCTTACACAGGAGTATCTATGACTCAGATAACTGCAGTCAGGGACTAGGAGGCATAGAAATGAAAATGTTGAGACTATTTTCATGCTTCTAACAGTAAGCACCCGGCTTTATGTCCATTCAGGTGTCCAACAGCATCCACGATGCTGATAAGGCTGACGGTAAAAGGACTTCCCTTCCTCATTCCTGTGCAGTACTGTATTTGCCTTACTAGGAGTCACATAATGCCATGCTGAACTGGCTGTGCTTTTTTTTTCTATTTGTTTAGTGTTTTGAAGGTGTTTCTCTGCTTTAAATGAGTGTGACTTAAGGAGCTGGCTACACAGGGACCCAACTTTGTTTAATGAGCTTCTTTACAGGATAGTCATCTTGGTATGTGTGCATGCACCAATAGATCTACTGGCTCCATAAAGCAAATTAACATTTGAGGAAAGTGTTATTTAAGTGCATTTTAGGCAGATGCCCTTGAAATGGCTATCTTTCTGGGTGCCTTTTTCTCACATTATAGGTTCTATATATTATTCATTTATAGAGAGGCAGCAACACTTCTCAGTCCTTCAGCCTCAGAGGCTAAGCCACTTTTGGTATGACAAACCCATTTCTGTTAGTTTCCTGGCTTGCACCTCAGACCTAATCAGCTTAGACAGCATGTAAAATCCCTTACTAGTTTACTACCTGTGATCTACAGGATCTGAATTTCCCTGGTGTTATATAGTATCATAGCAACTCAGCCTTAGTTGTACTAATGCAAATCCCTAATGAATCCCTTAAGAAAGGGTTATTTTTCTCTTCTCTGTATGTCTTTTACTTGCTATACTTGTCTAGTGTCAGAACTAGACAATGTAATTCAGTACTAAGAACACTGTGTTCAGAAGACATATAGTAAAATCTTTGTTTTGTTTTGGCATGTGGAGTCAGTTTCTTCTATGACTTTTTATGGAGAAATTTTGGTTTCTCAGTCACAGAAAGCTCAATAAAAGTTACAGAGAAATCTGATGCATATTTTCTTTGCAAGTCAAGCTATAATCCCCAGAGACAAGTGAGGAAGGTCAAAACATTAGGGGTTGTTTGGAGACAAAATGTTGTTTCAGTTTAGTAATGAATCCTGTTAGGAAAAAAATCTCAAGTAAGTGATAACAGTGGTTTTAAATTCCAGAAAAGTTTCAGAACTGCTCCCTGGCTTCTGTTTAAGGAATTTGGTATGAATCCATCCGTCATTTAAACTGAAGACAATGATTTGAATGCATATATGGTTCT